GTTGCGCGCACAGACGCGCACTATGTCTGAGACCTAACTGGAAGAGCTCGCCTGGCAGTTGCAGCTACAAGCTATGATAGGCCAAGACTGGTGGAGCAGCCAATATCATTGGCTCTGCCAGGCCATGATTGGATCTCGTTCTTGACAAACTGCTGTTCATTGTTGAAAGACTTTGCCCCCTGAATGAAAGAGGCTATCTCAGACTGCATGGAGCTCAACATTCGTCGACATTCCAGCTCTTCGTCCTCCTCGAAGAACTGTTCAAATCTTCTGCAGAGCAACTCATGATCTTTAACTTGTCCTTTCAGGATTGATAACATTCCGTGATCGTTCATGCCCTGCTCCTGAAGCAGCTGTGGCAAGTCCTGCAAGCCATCCTGCAACGCAGCAATCTCATGGAGGTCCAGCCCTCCGAAGCTTGCACGCAAGGCCACGCAGCGGTCACGAGATTCTCTCATGTCATCTGTTGCAGTTGTCAAAGCTGAGGTTAAGACAGCATGCTGTTCCAGAGCAAAGGATAACTCGCACTCTGCCTCTGCTAGCCTGCCTGTGATCAACCCCCCATGGCGCAAGCAGTCAATCTCATCGCTGATTTGCTCAACTTTCTGCACAGCTTCATGCACATCTGCTTCAGCCTTGTTCACAGCAGACTGCTGCTTCTGCAGTTCTGCTTCCAAGGCTTCGCATGCAGCACCCCCACCGAAATTTTCAATCACGTGAAACACTACATGCTGCAACTTCTTCTCTTGGCCATTCCACAACACGGCCTGAGAGGCCAACTGATCGCAATGCTCGATCTGTGCCCTTGCTTGTGTCCGAAACGCATCCAACTGCCTGAGGCTCTTTGCCGCAAGCTCAAACTCCCGCTTTACAACAATCAGCGGTGTTGTGGCCTTGAGATGCAGCACTGGCTCTAATGCATTCGCAGTCACTTGCGCCAATTTGTGTAGGATTCCTACCACATGTGAGGTTGCACGTTGCACTTGGAAGACCCACATCTGCCAGGGTTGGACAAGGGAGAGGGCTTCTTCGGCACAGCCGCCAAGCTGCTTGAGGAACCATGACAGGCTACATAGGGAGCGGAAGATGCTGGCACTACGCTTTAGCACGGCTCGTGTTTGTGCGACGTCCCACTGGATCAACTCGGCTTGCCGCCTGGAAGTTGCAACTGCAACCTGGCAATCCTCTTTAGCTGCAGCTGGGCAAGAAAAGCTCATGGCACTGCGAGGGGGCATTTCACAAAGCCTAGCATTTCAAGTGCAAAACGCTGATCTTCTAAGGACTGGATGATGTCATTTATCTTTGGGACACATTGAAGATTTGGCGGGCAGGGTTTCAAGAGCTCTGTTTTAAGTCCAAACTATGCGCCGTTCCAGAGCCAACATTCTTCCAGTCAGCTGTCAAGAATCCTTTGCTGGCCTACGGCGCTTAGAGAGTAGCACAGCCCCATGAAATGTTCCCGAAAAGCGCATGTTTCGACAACTACTCGATTGCTCCCAGAATTGAGCGTGATGAGAGCAAATCGAAACACACGTGCGAAATGCAATGAGTAGCACGCATGGCTGGGTTAGTGTTAAGAAGCTTAGATTAAGTTACCATAATATGGGTATATGGGAGCGAATCAGGTTTCCTCACTATGGTGACTTAAGTTCCTGAAGTGTAAGCCAGATGAACTGCGAGTCAGAGCAGCAACTCGTCGCCTGGTTGAAGATGATGCTCAATGGCCTTGCGTTTGCATGCCCTAAATAGGGAAAATCTGTCTAAGGACCCGTGTTATACTAGGAGCCCAACCAAATACAGGGATAGGTGTTGTCCAAGTTCACGCCTCTTCTCGGGCAGCTTCCTTTCTAGAACTCTTGGGCTGAGTTGAGGGATGAAGATTGAGACGGGCGGTGTGATTTTACTTGTCTTTTTCAAGACACATGTGAGGAACAGTCGTGGATGTTGCTGCAAATGGCCTGAACGCCTGCTCTGCCTGGACGTGACGCTGACCACAAGCACCAGTCAGTCCTATTCCGCAGTCTAGCTTGAACATTCAACATAATCTGCACCAGCACTCCACCGATCCCTTTGCGGTCCTGAATGTATCCCTTTTTGATTGCCAGAGAGCAGGTGCTGTACAGAGATGGGTCAGCACCCTGGGATTCCCGGCAGTGCCAAGGAAAATCCGGTCAGAGTCAGACCTAGGCAGAATCAAAACATAGCAAGTCGTCCAAACAGACAAGGGGGGATGCAGGGATAGGATTTAGGGTTTAGGCTGGTGGTTGACACGGTTAACGCTCCGAGGTCCCTCTTTCGGACTACGGTGGCTCGTGTAACTTCCTGAAACTTGTCAAAGCCATGATGTAATCCCTTCCCCCCAACTTTAAACAACCCCCCACATATTATCACTGGCTGTAAACGGAATATATGTGCTATTCAGGAGAGGGTGGAAAAGCTTTGGGAGGGGAGCAATGCTCTCATCAGGCTTGCCCGAGACCCTGCTCGAGATCTCAAAGCATGCAATTAAATCATTGTTAAGTAATCCCCTCTCCCTAAACTGCCCACCCCTCCCCAGACTTAGGGGGCCAAGGGGTGTATAAAAATTCCAGGGGAGGGAAATTACAGCATTCCGACCTGTACCTGACTGTGCGTACATGAACGTGCATCTGGTCAGAATGGTCTAGCTGAATGGCCTGACACATCAACGAGCACAACAAGCTGAAGAGATGATTCTCATGCATACGAACACATACACTATGAAAATACGACTCTCTCTCTCGCTCTCTCTCTCACTCAATATATAGAGATATAGTATATATATGTAGATACATATATATCTGCATACGCTTTAGACTGTTTTTGCAAACTGCAGCAGGCTCCGCAGCGCAAGCCGGAGCTGTCCAAACCCGGATGGATGTTAATAGAGTGCTTGACGGCCAAACGCTGCAGCTGCTACCGTGAGTTGGCTTTCTTTGGGAGCTCCTCATGCTCCTCAGTCTAGCTTCAGGCGAAATAGGCCGCAACAGCTCCAAAGCCAGAACCACCAGCTGTCGCGCATGTGCTTCCACTTCACAGCTCGGATCAAGCTTTCCTCTAAGTGGCTTTGCGTCAACTGCCCCTGCAACGGAGTAAGGACAGGCATCAAGGCACAACAGAGCGGGCCAACCAATTCAAGCTGCATTGCTGTGTCACTGCTCAATCTCAGGTACTCCTCCAATCGCATTTCCAAACAGCTGAGCTGCACGATATCTCCCGAGAGCATTGCCAAGCTGTATGAACTGTAGCCCACCTGCTGCAGCACACTGGCAGCTTCTGCGCCATCTTGGTTACTGCGAGCCTGAATCTGCATAGATGCGGCAAGAAGAAGCTCATCACAGGAGCTGCTGAGAAGCTGAGCCGTTTCCTCTTGCGACTGCATGGCTAGCTTGATTTCCTTGACTTCGTGCAACACTGTGCCAATAAGCCACGGTAAATCTCCAGAGCCCGTTGCCTCCCACAAATGCTGTTGAAGGGATTCTCCCAAGCGGCGATGGTTCAGCTGCGTCTTCACTTTTTCTGACATGAAAGTTGCCATGGACGCAGCCCGACACATTTCCTGGGATGCTTCTGCCTGGCTGGCTAAGCAGTCCAGTGATTCCAGGACTGCCATTTCCATTGCCCGTTCCTCTCCCATCGCCTGAGGTATCAGCTGCACAAGACATGGGAACGGCAACAAATGAGGTGCCACTTCAGCCAATTAAATGATGAAGGCAGCAGTGGCAAAGACAATGAAGGTCAACCTTGCACTCCGACTCAATAGGAACGCTCGGCCCGTTGCCTGGCCCTCAGCTGCATGACCTGGCACCGGTGGCCAATACTGGGATGCAGCTCATGCTGTTTCAAATTGGCCGTGAAGTTTCGGCCATGATTCAACACACTGCTGTCCGGACGCAAGAAGCACAAGTAAATGATTCGCTCTCTCAGGCATGTGTTGCTCGCACGAGCCTTGACTTCGCGACTGTCGTGTACATCCTTGCATTCCACTTAGTGGAACGTGGGGGCAAGCAAGTAGCTTCAAATTCGTACTAAACACATCTGACAGGATAATCATGATGGATCAAGATAGCTTGTAGAATGTTGAGGAACTCTGTGGCCAGACTAAAACAAAGCAACAGGCAATCATCTGCACAGTAGTTGCATGTGTCCTCTTCTTTCGCAAGGCCTGGCGGCGTTCAGCTTTGCATGAGAAGTCTCAGGCTCCAAGCTTTGGGTTCTGGAGGGTCACTTTCATATTCGGTATCCCTGACTGTCATAGACTTGAGAACGCCTTGAGACCCTCCGAGCTTTGCCGCTGGCCAGCGCACAGCGCCAGCGTTCCATCTGGCCTGCGTACCCCTACACACGAGGATTACCCACCAGGCAGCAGTCAGGCTGGAACGGTTTGGCGCGCACCGCAGACAACTCTGCATTCACAACCCGCAACAACCCTAGGTCCATGATGGTACCACCGCAACTTAAATATCTTAACTGAAGCTGAGCCCCAGTACAGCAGCTTCAGCTCAGAGTCCCATCACCATGCCTGTGGGCACGCACCACCAGAAACAGTACTAAGACTTTCGTTTCATGACAACAGCCAGAAACAAAACAACCATGGTAGCACGCGCAGCATAGCCAAGTACAGCAGGTACCAAACTAGTTTTCTAGAATTTGGCCTAGATCATCTACGAATATATATATATATACATATTTACATATATATATATATATACCCAATATACCCCTGATACCCATTACACCCACTACACCCATTTTTAGCCAGTTTGCCCAATATACCCAGTATACCCCATATACCCAGTACACACGATTTGGGAGCAACAATTATCTCCGCCGCAGCCCTTCCACCTGACACGTCCTGGACCCTGCATACACGCAACTAGGGTGCAAGTTCTAGGGCTTAGGACTTAAGACAAGACAGAGTTACATTATACCCATTATACCATTTGTAGCTCCTGTATCCAATATAGCCATTGCACCCACTGTATACCCTTATACTCATGAAAACACACATATTCAGTGGATGTCCGAAAAGAGGCCGTGGCCAGCAGAGCACGAACAGTCGGAAAAGGAACAAAAACCATCTGACCAGGAGAAAGACTGTGGCAAGAAATCATGTGGAATTCCCCCAGGGACAATGCTCATTATGCCCATTATATCCATTATGCCCACTATGCACTATGCCCATTGTGCCCATTATACCAGTGCTGTGGGATACATTGGCTATGTTGGGTATATTGAGCTCCAGCAGACAAGCTCTTCGTGCCTTGAATCCTGCCATCGCATCACTGTCGCGTTGCTCCTGGAACCCAGGTTCTCTCAAGTGGCAGTGAGGGTCCTTATCTTGGAAGGGGTTGTGTATATATGTAGTAGTAAACATGTGTATTAATGTATATTCTATAGAACATGCAAACACTAATAACATAGCCATGAATTGAACGAAATGTTTATGCGGAGCCAAATCAATCCGAGACGCATTGCATCCCGAGTGGTCAAGCAACCTGATATTCAGGTCCAACTGAACTATGATACGACAATATACCCTGATATACCCATTGTGCCCCAACATGCCCAAGTATGAGCATACTCCAATATACCCCATTGCACACGTTACACTGCGTGAACTGGTCTACAAGTGGCCGCTCCAGGCCAACGGTTCACTTTGGGGGGATCCTTCCAAAACTGCTGCTGTGCACAAAAAAATCCTGGGCAGTCCGTTAAAAGGGACTTTAATGACCTCAGGCTTTAAAAAGGCACAGGATAATGGAAACGAATGATGCCCTAATTAGCCATGTGCTTCATGGAGCTCAGAACTGTCATCTGCACAAGTAGATGACCTTACAAATCTGCACTGATTGGTGCACACATGTGCATGAATTCAGCTACAATTCTCAAAATTCACTTCGCGCAGGCTCATGGTTGCTGCTTCACTTGTCGCGCGGGCAATCTGTTCCCTGGCAGATAGTGATCACATTCGGCTCAGTAAGCCAGAACCATACGGCCGCAATGGCGCACAGGAAACTCATGACCAGAATCGCCCACATGGACCAATCCAAAGTCTGCAGTTGCCACATTATGGCGGATCTGCTCGGCAACATGGACTGGGAAGCTGTTGCACCACCCGCTTCCAAGTCCTTCGAAAGCCTTAGCTGATCTAAATCTCAAAACCCTCCGCAACACTTCTTCCCTACCAACAACTGAAACAAGGAAATGGGCAATTGTCATGAAGGTGTTCCTCAAAATTTGAAACGACCTGTATACCTACACAGCACTCTAATCCTCTTCATACCTTATTGCAAGAACCTCCCTGCTTCCCTCCACTCACAAAAAGGAGGACATGCACCCTAGGGGAACGCACATGGACATTTCCAGAGGGATGCCAACATCTCCTGAAAAAATGAAATCCTCAGAACGCCTAAAAAAGCTCCCGAAGAAGCTCACAAACCATGAAGCCTAAATTCCATCAATATAAATTTATACATGTATAAGTCTCCACATACAACCCTGATACAACCCCTATAGAATCCTACGTAATTTTCATAGATCCCCATAAAACCGACCAAAAGGCAGTGGTGTGGACAAGTTGCCAGCCTTAGCCGCTGGAGCAGCTGGGGCTGCTGCAGCCTCCTTCTTTGTTTCTGGAGCGGTTGCTTTTTTCCTCAGCCCGAATCTACTTGGTAGCTTCCATGCAAAGGGACAAAACACAGACCCGATATACTACGTTACAAGGACCCACAGAACATCTCTCATTGTCGGAAAGCCCAATTCAAGACAGCTTGGAATCGTTTGGGAAATGGAGTCTAGCTTGCACTACTCACGCGTGTTCCGCTCAAAGCTTTTCTCTCGATCATCCAGGTATCACAGGCAAGGCTTTCAACTCTGCCAAGTCCACCTTGGGCAAAGCATCGACTGGTAAGCCCAGGCCATATGCTGCAGCTTCCTTTGCAGCAACGCGACCAAACACAACGCAGTCCAGCAAGGAGTTCCCACCAAGACGATTGTTGCCATGGACGCCTCCTGCAACTTCTCCCGCAGCATAGAGCCCTGGAATTGCACCCTTCAAGCCGATGCACTCGCTTTTCTCATTCACTTCAACACCCCCCATGCAGTAGTGAATGACAGGCGTAATGAATGCAACATGGAAGGGTTCTGAAGCAACTTGAGATCCGGGGATCACGTTGTGGTAAAACTTCTTGCCGCTGCCGGTGGGGCCGCTCGCATCATCCCAGGATTTGCCGGAGGGGTAAGCTGGCCACTTTCCGCCCTCAAGGTCTTTTTCAGTGTTCTTGGAGGCCTGATAGTGCTGGTCATGCACAGCTTCGAGCTTGCTGACAGGAATTCCCATGTCCTTGGCCAGCTCGGCACCAGACGAGTAGGCTTTCATGACACCTCGCCCTGTGTAGTGCTTGCAGTGCCAGATGATTTCGTCTGAGGCTTTCTTGTTGAGACACAAGCGGAAGGGAGGCTTGTTCTTCCACATTTCACCTGTCACATAATCGCGGCGGCCCAACTCGTTGCAGAATCGGTCACCATTGGCATCAAGAATGAGGCCGCCTACGCCTCGCAGAGCCTCTGCGGCAAGGAATTTCACTTTCGCATCAGGCTCGTCAGGCTTCACTAAGCCGGTGGGATGCACCTGAACCCACTCTAAGTCGATGGTCTTCGCACCAATCTCTTCACTCATCTTGATGCCATCTCCTGTGCAGTGCTCCCCGTTGGTGGTTGGCAAGTGCAGCAGATCCGGGCGGTATTTCGCCAACAAGGAGTCCGAACCAAAGTCTGCCCCAAAGCCGCCAGTTGCTAGGATCACTGGCCCAAACTCCTTGAAGGTTTGACCTGCCTTCTCATAGGCACAGCCAACGCAAATACCGTTGTTGGTAAGTAATTCAGTGACACGTGCCTTTGTAATCAAGCGGGCCAAGTCGGTCCTTTCAACCACAGCTTCCACCGATTGGATGAGAGCATAGGTGATGGTCATTCCAGGGAAGCGCTCCTGCGGCGAATGTCAAAGTCAAGCATAGCAACGTGCAATTGGAGGTCAGCCCTAGCATTCTGCAACCCCCAAAGAATGCAAGGTTTTTGCTCTTTGCAGGCGCTTTAAACCCAACATCCGGTCGTGCCCTTGACCCGCCTTCCCTCTGTGCGTGCGTGGCTGCGAGTGACCACCCAATCGAGCAAGCAGAGAAAGATCCAAGCCGAATGTGTCCACAAGCCAGTCGACATCTGGACCGCTGTTGGCACAAAGGACCCTAGCAACGTCTGGCCTTTTTGCTCCGCCCTTGAGAGTGTCTTGAGTGAAGATATCCACGGTGTCAGGTACACCTTGTGCCTTCTGAGTCCTGGTCTCAGCACCATTGATGCCACTTGTTGCCTTCGAAGAGTTGCCACCACAGAAGGATGACTTGTCGAGGAGGACGACTTTCATGCCACATTCCAGCAACGTGTTTGCGGCAGAGACTCCAGCCAAGCCTCCGCCGACAACAATGCCCTGGTCGCAAGGAAACACGCAAGCCATCTTGAAGTGCTGTGAGGAGCGGAAACTGCTACTGCAACTTGCAGACAAGACAATGTCATAAACTGGATCAAAAGACGCCGTTCAAGCCTACATACAGCTTGTCAGCTGGTACAAGGAACACTGTGCCTTTAGTGCCTGACTTAAAGTGGCCAAACCAATCAGATTTCGCGCTGCTTCACTTCCACAACGTCTCCTCCTGAGGGCTGCACTCCACCCCGTGCAACCCATGGAGTATATGGGCTGATGGGGCAAGGCAATTTTAAGTGGGATGCACTACGGGTATCCTGGGTAAATTGGGTATATACCCTATATACCGCTCTAGTGTGTACAGGATATATTGGGCATTGGGAGTATTAGGTAAGAGGTGTATTCTATTGGGTGTAATGATTATATTGAGCATAAAAAATGTGCCTGGGCTTGTACAACTACCTTTTCTATCGCTTCCCGATATAGCTGATATAACCTACATAACCATTGTACCCAATATATTCTTTATGTCCTATATATTCCTTCTGCCCAATATGTCCTGTATGCCCAATATGTTCATTACACGTCATGTCTTGAGGCCTCGTCCAGCTTGTGCTCAGAGCCCAGAGCTATCCATGCCAATAGGCAACTCAGTGCGTGCTAACAAACAAACACATCCTGCCAGCACCATCCTCGCGCCACCGTGAGAGGGAATGGCGGTAAGGCGATGCCATTAACAAAAGACCCATTCCAAAATCCACATCAAAACTGAATCACATGTCTCGGGACATGTCTGATGTATATATCAAAATGTCCAAGGTTCACCTACCCCTTATCATGTCTGACATGACAGTGAGCACAGACAAACGGAGTAAGAAAGTTGCACATGGCGAAAACAGGCAGCCCCACACTTTTCCAGACGAACGGGGCGGATTCCCATTCGGCGGTGCATGCCACCTTCACCTTGGCACCTTGGGTGAACATGGCCCCATCCCACACAGTATTCAGTAAGGTGGCATACATCACCCAAGCAGAGCCATACGGCGAATGTCTACCATTGGGAATTGTTCCGCCGCCCTCTTTTCGCACAGCCCCCCTGAACCGGTCCATGGGATTTCCGCGTCTTCGACGCCTGCTTTTCGGCCATAAGTTCGTCAACGAAAAGATTGCGATGTTCCAAGCCAGTCTCCCAGCACGTGCAATGAAATACCCGGACCGTCCAAAAAAGCAGCGTGCCTTCGGAATGAAACCTTCGAACTGTTCTACGTAATCCACCGCAACATATGTTTCACTCAGAAAATAGCTATGCCAAAATGCAATGCCATCCAAAATATATGTCCTTCCAAATTCAGCAAGATATATACATATCCAAAATATCAGTGCAAACAGAAAGCTACGTCCTTTTGCATGGCGGTATGAAAGACTGCTGAATGCAAAAGCTGCTGAAGCTGTGCGCAGGATTGAACCCCCTGCTTGCGGGAGACAGGAAGTACTGACTACCCGCTACCTGATATGCTTTTCCGCTTGTGCAAGAACTGCACAACTACGCTCCTCCGCTGCTGCGGGAACTGCACAAATACGCTCTTCCGCTGCTGCGGGAACTGCAGGCTAATTGCATGCGCAACACATCCGGTTGGATGTACATGCACATCCTTCAACACACGTGGAAAAATGCCACAAGTTTGCGTCATTAACTGTCAGGCTCCCAAGCTTCAACTCCAACAGGGGACATGCAAGAAGGGCGGAACTAGGTGGGTCAAAATTTTTGGATACTGCCATTTCATCTAAAACATACGTGGCTATGGATATAAAAGAAGTAACTGCCGCTCTAACGTGTCTGTTGAAATAATGTAAAATAACCGAAAGCGTACACATATCCTGTTGAAAGCTCAGTTTGAATGTCACTCGCATGCAGCTTCACGAACTCAGCTCAGCCACATCGTTCATTTCTTCTCAGACTGATTATGTTAACAAACTGATCCCCTGGAGATCTGCATACAAAGAACGTTGGATGGCCTGCAACATCCCACCGGTACAGGCATCAAACTATGCCAGATGAACACACAGGGTCCTCTCCAACCCAACGCCGCTCCCAAAAATCAAACCCACCCTCCGAATCCCCAGACCCTGTGGAACAACGAAAAGAAACCTTGGGGACCTGCTTGCAAAGAAAGCCTCGCAAAGGGCTTGAAGCATAAAGCTCAGCAACATGGCTCACGCTTTTCGATGTCATTTCATCAGGGAGGTTCATGGGCACAATTGTCACCCCATCCAACACTGCTCCAACTCACGCCAGAGCTCCGGAAGGGGAAGCTGCCATGACGGAAACATGGGTCTCAACCGTATTTCATTGGGTCTCTGCCCCGTAGCATGCTCTGACCAGACACTTCCCTCCAGCGTCCGCGATATGTCATCTGCAAAATCGAGTTTTGACGGCACATACTCAAAATACACTTGACATCGGAGCTCAAAAGCTAACAAATGAAAAATGGCCACAGTTCTAGCTTGCACTGCATTGCTGGAATTGCCCTTGACAAGGGCATGAAGGCTGGATGTGTTGTCCACCAACCACAAGACGCTCCTGTGTTTGAACATCTGGGAACATGCTAGCAAAGTGATGGGCACCATAGCTCCCTCGCACTCCGCGATGCACGATGCTTCTGGCCCATATCCCCATATCGGCAAAATTGGCAGAAACCTCGTGAACCCGCACCAGGAGGAATCAGCATCCCAAATGATAGCACCCCCAGTTGGAGCTGAATCAGCTTGCGCATCTGTCGCCACCAAAAGAACCTTGTCAGAACGCGGCACGACGGATACTTCCCTGGGAATGAAGATGCCAAGCAGTAACAGCAAAAATTCGTATGCATAATCCAGCGCACGAGAATTGTCCCAAGGGAATTTGTGTATACTGTCTCTGCTCGGGGGGTCCCATGACCACCCTGCCAATCCTGCCATACATGGCTAAAGCAGTGAAACCGGCAATTCCCATGATCTTGTTTGCTTATGCAGGTGTTGTTTGCTTGTCACATGCACTGATGAGCTGCCGCAACTTTTCCTTGACAGCATCCCTGGCAGTAAATGTACAGACCCCTGGGATAGAGCCCTCCCAAGGTCGTGCAGCATCCCCAACAACGTGCTACGCGGCGACATCAAGATCTTCTTATGTTCAGCCAAAGGAACTCCAATAGCCAGCAGCACGCGCCTTCCCAGCCACTGTGCTGAACCTTTCCCATCAGCAAAATCAACCACGTTGGAATCATTTACACACATGGCCCACAGGAGGCAAAGAACTCTGCGCATCATGGCTTCCAGGAACCGACTCCATCTTGCAAATTGCATGACACTTGCACTGAAGCCAAATAAAAGTGCGCTCATGATGACAAACCGTACCTCCCCAGATTCGGGATGCTTCACCATGACCACATTAGCCGGCAAATCTTGCAAAACGACTGGGAGCATACGATATGCGTCAGCGTGTTCACCGACTGGACTTGCAGCATTCGGCGATCCAGCTGCTTAGACAGACTGGACACTAGGGCATCAGAAGGTGCCACTTGCACCTCAAGCTGCAATTTGTACCGCTGGTACAACCAGACGTCCAACTGCTTGAGATCATGCAGAGGCAACAATAGATCGAGCGCCTCCTCGCCTCGTTTCTTGGTTTCTTGTGCCTGCACATCAGCTTTGCGAATGGCAAGCCAAGCTTGGCGCAGTCGCGCTGCTTGTAACCCAGATTGCGCAAGGTTAGCAATCTTTGACGTAACTTTGGTCTCAATTTCTGCTTCGGACGTGATGAAAGCAGTAGCAGAATAATCTTCCAGCGTTCTCAGTCAGCCCGACTGTCTGCACCAACCACTTTCCGACATCCTCATTGATTCGGAAGGAGGTACACAACTGCCTGAAGGTCGCCAAGGCATCTGCCTCAGAGACCTCCTGTAGGCCTACAAGGGGCACGCCCCCTATTGCGATGAGGCCGCTGCCATCTGCGAGCGCCCTGAGAACCCGTTACGAGATTCAAGGCCAAAACTTTACCGGCGCATGTCAGCCTGTTGACTCGCCTTGTCAATCTCCAATGTCAAGGAACAAAATCATGGGTCCTGGTTCGACACAGCCATGCCAAAAAACTGGGCCACACATCGGACACAGATTTCCCGCATATCCTTCGTTTTTTTCACCGGCGACTGCGGTAGGCTTAACCATAGCAAGCAGTTCTTGCAGAACGCTCTGCCTGTTGCCACCGCCTCAAGCAGACTTCCCAACACGATGGGTTCGCTCTTGAACTTAGCCTTTCGCCGCTGCTGTTTCCAAGTACATTGCGCCCGACCCTCAAACTCTATGTGAAGCAATGCTGCAGCACGACAAGACGTGACCCAGCTCACGTCGCCATCCCGCAGTGTCTCTGCTCTAGGTCTCACGGCAGCGTCCTCATGACTCATGACGCAAAACCTAGGCTTACGCACATGGTCGGCCAAGAGTTCGGAACCGACCGCCCACTCGATGTCTGAATCCTGGAGAAGGTCATTGAAGCGCTGTCTCCACTGCGTCTCCTGTCCGACGCCCTCAGTTGCCCACCAGCGACGACAATCTTCCCATGTAGCGCAACGCTGCACCATGGATGGCGTGCACAGAGCTTGCACTACACCTACTTGAAGTTCTGCTTGTACTTTCGCGCCAGAGTATCGCAGCGGCATCACTTTGTCTGCCCTGCCTTCTTTGCTGCTCCAATTTCCAAGGGCCATGCGTTCAGGCATTTGCGCGCCACGGATGTCCAACAAAGTCGGCTGAAACCTTCGCAACGAGTATGAGGTGCACCGATAAGCATTGGTGTCCGTCATCGCCGGAGCCACACACTCTTGCGGTACTCGATTGAAAACCGCAGCCTTAACGGGCAGCAAGGAGTGCGCATCCACCACCACGCAGTGCGATGAGTGACGTCTCCG